TTAAGGAATTATACTGAACGTCATCTCAAAGGTTGAGTGTTGAAAGAAAACAGAGAATAATCACTAGAAATACACACACACATACAAAATTGCATCTTATATAAAGACTATAAAGTTCGTTACTATCTGAAGTCTCTACTTCAATTTTCAGTCATTCCGCAAGCAATCCAATTCACAGACGTTAACAACCTTTGCAGAACGCTCTGCTGACCTGCTCTGTTCATTCCCACTGACCGTGTACATGTGTGCATTTGTGTGCAGAAATGTGTGTTCGTATGTTTCCCGGGTCTCTATCAATGAGATGTACACAATGACAGAGTCTTGCTACAAGATTAAAAATACCCTGATTCAGGAGACAAGAGATCACTATAATGAGAATGGTCATTCTCAAAGAGAGCTCAAAGGAATATATTTTCTTTAAAATAGATTACCTTTGCGGGTTCCAAATCCTTTGTATGATTTAAACAAAGGAATAGAAATAAATGCATAAGTGTGAAATCTGGGAGAGCTGTAAGTCACTGTTTCTATTGAATGAATTATCACTAATATTCAAATGAGCAATTACTAATAAATTGATTTGTCCCCTTGGGCTACATGTTGTCACATTGCCACAAGAAAGATTTCTTTATGCCTTTGTGTCAACAGAGGCTATGTCATAAATAGGTTTGGTACCATTTTATTATATAGCACCAGTGAGAGAAAAAAACAAAGAGAGGGAGGGGTGTGTGTGGCTGCCTGAGTGGGAGAGCAAGCCCAGGTAAAAAGCAAGTAAGAGAGAGAGGGAGGCAGCATGAATTTTTAATCAGTGCTTCTCTTGAACTAAGAAACTAAATTTTATAATTCTATCTAAAGATATTTCAGACAATAGAGATAAGTAAAAGTCTAGTTTCTTTGGTGATCTAGCTAAAACCATATATCCCTGGAAAAACATCAAATGCCTTAAAGATGAATTAAATACTATTATTAGATGTGATTTGCCAAGACAAATGCAGGGTTGTTTTTTTTTTAAGATTTTATTTATTAATTTGAGAGAGAGAGAGTGGGGGTGGGGGTCAGAGGGAGAAGCAGACACCCGCTGAGCAGGGAGCCCGATGCAATGCGCAGGACTCAATCCTGGGACTCAATTCTGGGACTCCGGGATCATGACCTGAGCCGAAGGTAGTCGCTTAACTGACTGAGCCACCCAGGCGCCCAAATGCAGGTCTTTTTTATTGGTCTCTTTCTCATAAGTATAAGGACTAGCACAAACTTGACATGTAATAAATAGTATCAAGGCAGGTAACACTAAATATTTTTTGAACTTTTTCCCAATTAGAAGAATATAGTTGATAAATACTGACTCTATCAGGAAGCTGTATATTTATAAATTGCCTATTTTTTAGCATAGTGAGAATGGAAACAAATTTTAAGTATGAAGCATTTTATCCTTATTCGATCTCTTATCTACAAAAGGAGGGACAACCCCTTGCGACTTGCATCTTCTCTACAAAAGGCCATGAACCCACTCTGGCGTTGATTCTTTTTGTTTGTAATAATCCTCTCAAAGAAAAGATGCAATGACCTGATATTTTAGGTTTGGTTTTTCTTTTGTAACTTTTCCTTTGACCTAATGCACGAATTAAATGAAATCTAATTGGATTAAACCAAAGGATTCTGATTTTTTGTTTATTTTTCTAAAAAGGTTTTCATATATACAAAAACAATACCAGAACCCCCGATGGGCTTTCCTACTTCCTAATTACATACATCACTACCATTTAAGCTGGAGTTTTAAGCGTATGATCAAGTCATCCAGGCCAAAGAGGAATGTGAAACATTTCTCATGATATGGTCTATTTGTGTCCCTTTCTCCTTAGAGACATTTGTCACTAGACAGATATTTTATTGTTTATTATCTTTTGTGTCTTCCAGGTTGCTATAGGAAAAAAAAAATCACATTCCATTTGACGACTAAATGTATCACAAAAAAACACTTTAATCTATGGAAAGATAAGCTTTCTAAAAAAGTATTACAGCAGTATATGTTTCTTGTTTTAGTAAAATAAAAATGTAGAGTTATTTATTGTTTTGCAAGGCCTTTTCACATATAATTTGGTACTGACAATTGCTTTACGAGGTAAATGGGATGCATTTTATAGTAGTATTTTACAGATGAGAATATTGAGGCTCATTGAACTGAAGGGACTTGTTCAAGGTCACACAGAGGTCACCATACCTTCCATATCCACTAAGCACTCTCTCCACCTCCTGTATGGATGAGTCATCAGTTCTACCCAGCTACTTTATTTTATTTTTTGTGTTATAGTTCAAACAATATTGTTGGGAGAAAAAAAGTGAATATACTGCACAAAAGCAAATAGAGTTTCAAGGGATTCTTTTCAACATTAGAGTTTTCCATAAAAAGATGTGTCATCCCAGGGTCGTGATGTCACTGAGGCTTAAAGAAGAAATGGTGACGGCCGCGGGTCCTTTGTTCTTACTAGAGCTCAGTACACTGGTTATGATGGGAATTCACTTAATTGTTTCAGAATCTCAAAGGTTTTTAGCGATTCCCACAGACGGTCTGTGCCAGGGTCACTGATGTTAGCTTTTCACAGTTTTTTATTTGATTTATTTGAAAACCATTTATTGACTGCCAAGCATGGTCCAGGCACTCCACAGTGTGTTGGGGCTACAAAAATGAATAAGCATGTTTAATGAGAAAAGTAGGTAAGTAAATAAATTAATTAAATTAATAAAGCAAGTTTATGTGCAAACAGGATGTTTGAAGAATCCTTATTTTCCTTTTTGCCACAAGCAGTAGTCTGTGCTACGTGGTAAGTGGTAAGAAGCCTGGCAAAGGAGACAGTTAGTACATGGTGGTCACTTTGCCTACCTTTCTCTATTTGTTGCAGTGACCAAAATATGGTTCAAAGTAACAGACTTCCCGATCCGGCCAGAACCCCGGCCCTGTGCTTCTTCTTCTTCATCTGGTCAGCTTCTACTGTTTCTTTAACACTTTGCACTAACATTCTCCCTTTGAAAAAACACTTCCCGTGCCTCCCCTACCCACCCTAAGCCACTTCGCCACCCTCCAAACCAAGGTGGGGATAATGTCGGTATAGCTGTAGCTAAAGGTATTCTTCTTCTTTCATGGTTATTATGTTCAATTAGCCAACATACAGTACCTCATTCGTTTCTGATACAGTGTTCGACGATTCATTCTTACCGCAGTGTATATTTCTCCACTAGGCTGTAACTTCCTTAGAGACAGAAACTATTGATATTTGTATTCAAAGACTCTTCCAAAGGATTAGCATAGACTCAGAGACAGTGGCAACATCTCCAGGGGATGGCGTATAGTGGGGAGGAGGGAGAGGATTTAACTTTACCTTTACCTCTTCCCGCATAGTTTCTATGAGCCATCCCCTCTTTACCCCAAGTAAACATACAGGGCACTTAAAACCAGTTTGCATGCTAGGCCAGTGTAGAACCAAGGCAAGGCCCCTAGCGCCCCTTTCCCACAGGATGCTTAGAGAGCTCCTTCTAGGTATCCCTCAAACTCAATAAGTATCTGTTCAAATGCTTTCAGGAGAGAGGAAAGATGAAGAACAGGAAATAATTTGGATGGTCATGCTTTTTAAAAATCAGGTTTATTGAACTATAACTTACATACAGCAAAATGTTCTTCCTCTTTCATGTATAAAGTTTGATGACTTTTGACAAATGCATAGTCATAAAACTACTGTCATAACCATGGTAGGGAACATTTCTACAATCCTCAAAAACACTCTTTGAACTACCAGAATTTTATTTATTTATTTATTTATTTATTTTTAGATTTTATTTATTTGACAGAGAGAGACACAGCAAGAGAGGGAACACAAGCAAGGGGAGTGGGAGAGGGAGAAGCAGACTTCCCTCGGAGCAGGGAGCCCGATGCAGGGCTCGATGCGGGGCTCGATGCGGGGCTCGATGCGGGGCTCGATGCGGGGCTCGATGTGGGGCTCACTGTGGGGCTCGATGTGGGGCTCAATGCGGGGCTCGATCCCAGGGTCCTGAGGTCATGACCTGAGCCGAAGGCAGACACTTAATGGCTGAGCCACCCAGGCGCCCCTGAACTACCAGAATTTTAAAGGAACTCTTTAGAAGAACCACAAAACTGATCGATGTTGTAGATTAAATAACATATCTTTGCATCTTGGACAACTTAATGTATCTCTCCAAAATGAATGGTTTATTTTCTCTCAGTCATAATGCCATCATTTGGTTGTGTGGCGTTTTTCTTTTGGAAATCTCAAAGCATTTAGCAAATCAGTTTGCACTGTCATTTCCCAAAGAAACCTAGACCAGCTACAGAGATTTATACTCCAATTCAATGAAATCAATGCATTTCTTCCCAACTGACCTGTATATTTCTCTTCTAGGTATATTGTTTTTCATGAGCTGGCCATTCGTTTTGTCAAGTAGGCAAGTGCCTACTTATTTATCGATTACACTCCCTCGTGTCTATGAAAAGGCTCTGCATCCTGGGGACACTTGGTACATTTGGATTTGATTTGATGGATACAAGGAATGACACAGCAAACAAGTGAATGACTAAATAAGTGAATGAGTAAAGGAAGAAAGGAATGAATGAGCAGTTGCCTCCATGTCCTGGATGAGGCACTGTCTGAGAGGCACCATGAGGTCAGGTGACTGGCAGAAAGCCACACAGGGACGTGCTAGCAGGCCAGATCAGATGCCAAGTTTCTTTTCTTTGCTCTCTCCATTTACCCATCAATTCTCATTGTTTAGAAGTCTCCATAAAATATCAACATTAAAGAGTAAAGATGGGAAAATAGGCCACACAGATTAAGTGGTGGTTTAAAAATGAATTTAGTATGCAAAGAATGACATGAATAAGGATTTCGGGGTAGATTTCCACTTGATAGGTAAAGGCTTTCCTCTCATTCATCAGGGCTTCCTTTCCATCAAATGGTTTCAGTAATACTTTTTGGTAATGCTCTTTGTGTGTTTTACCGTAAGACACTTTGTATATGGCCATTGTGTTCTTTTTTAACAGCCTTCTTTAGGGAAAAGGGCAATTACTTTCACTGTTGCCCACTCTATGATGACAAGTGGGGAGAGGACACTAGAAGAGGTTCTATATAGTTAGTATGAGAGCCTCCATTGTTCTACCTACGCTTGCACCTTATGTCATTTTTCTCCCCATTTGGACAGATCGGGAATGCATTTGATTCAATTTCCATTGAGAGACTTCCTATATTCAGGAATACGTATCAAAAGAATGCCAATGAGCATAAAACAAAAACGGTCTGCATTTCATAGGAACCCGATTTCAACGGTCCTAACAACAAAAAGAAAAGAAACACGCTATTAAAGTAGCCCTCCCAAGGGGCTGCCAGCTGCTTTTCAGTGCGTCCTGAGCCGGTGTCTTCTCTCCTCCGCGGGCTGCTCAGATATTCCTGAATCGCTGCGCCTTCAGCAGCGCTTTCTCTCTCCCGCTGCCTCCCTGGCGCGGCTCTCCCTCCCTCCCTCCTTCCCTCCCTCGGCTTCTGCTCTTTCTTACTCCGCTCAGCTGCTTAACTACAGCTCCCACTGGAACTCGCACGATCAAAACCAGCTCTCCTCCGGAGCCGCCTGCAGCCGCGCATCACCTGGAGCCGGGCGGCGGACCCCGCGCGCCCGCCGCAGAGCCGCCAGGTAGCTGGGGGCGCGCAGGGGGTGCCCGTCTCCGGCTCGCCAGCCGCAGAGCATCTCCCCGGGATCCGCCGTACGCAGCCTGCGGGGCCGGCCGCGCCGATGCCCGCGTTTCGGAGCAGCGATGGGAAGAGCAAAGCCACTGGCCGTGGCAACTGAGAGTGGGGAGAGGTTGCGGCGGTAGAGTCGCTGCAGAATGTGTGAGTGAAGACCGGAGCCCCGCCAGGTTCTCCATCCCGCTCCGTCTTCGCTGTGTCCGGGAGGGCAGCCGGGGACCCGCTGCACTCTCCAGGCGGTGCCACCCTGGATCTATAACCGTGAACTCCCTACTGTGGAAAATGGTAAACAAAGACATGAATGGATTCCCAGTCAAGAAATGCTCAGCCTTCCAATTTTTTAAGAAGCGGGTAAGGACGGGTTTTGTTTGTTTCTTTTGTTTTCTGCTCTTCTCTGAAATGCTTTTGATTGCTGGCCTGGGATAAGCCTAAGGTTGTCTTGCAGAACCGCGAAGGAAAGGCGAGCTTCTGGAAGCCCTGGTCCAGCTGGGAATTATACCTGTCTTGATGCAAATTTGTGGGTGGGGGCGCCTTGGAACAGTTGCTTTCCGGGGATGGGGGTGGGCTGGGCTGCCTTAGAGAGGGTTTGAGCCTGGAATGGGAATTTCTCACAGCCACAAGATGACAGGCAGTGTCAGAGAGAATTGGCCCGGGGTACAGTTATGGCTAGTAATTTAGTCAGGGACTAATTCAGTAGCTCTTCTCTCTCTTATCTTTGAAGGGTTCAACTTTTCCCACACCTTTCATTGACTCTGTCTCAAGTGCCTTCTTGCCATCTTCATTAGAAGCCACAGCTTCGTCTTCCCAAATCCATTCAGCCAATAACATGCGGAGTCTCTGTCTATGGTAAAAATAGCAAAGGACTAGAATGACCTTTTGCAGAAATGATGGAATCCAGCATTTTAAATTCTGTTTCAACTTGCCTCAATGTTGCTTGGTATGACTGCCTTTCTTTTCGAGAGAACAGCGGATAGTCTGAATCCAAGTGACAAGATGGGGTTATGCTGCTGTATATATTTATTCCTTCAATTCCTTGTTCTTCCATTCAGGGTGTTAATATCACTTTGCTTATAAATGAGCAAAAAAAAGGGAAAGGTCTTTTTTTGTGTGTTTCACCATAAACCGAATGCATTGTAATAGTCACGCTGGTGGTCTGCATAAACCTGCGGGTTTATACACAAGTGGGAGGTAAGAAATGTATGATGGTTAAGGGACTGATGACTGACACTCTTATGGAGAGTCTCCTAAGCAACAGAACCTTCCTTCAGCCCCCAGATGCCCTGTCCTATTTAATCCCCTAGGGCAATGCCATCAAAATGGCTCTCTCCATTCATTCTTCCCGCCCTTCATTCAGGTCCTTTCTGTGCTGTGCCTGACGCACAGCCCTTCACTTAACCCACCAGCGGAACACAACGAATTACACACTGGACCAGACCACCACCCTGCACCAAAAGGGGAAGCTGGAAAGGCAGCTCTGGAAGCAGTAAGTCCGGCCCAGCTAGAGGGCAGGCATAGGCTCCCTTTGACCGTCTCATCTCATCAATAAAGCACAACGGTCCCTCAAGTCCATGGGCCAAAACATCTGCATTAAAACCAAGGCAAAACCACCCTGTCCTTCCTGCTGCTCCTGGAGATCCCTCACAAGGGGAGACTGCAGGCTGAACCAAAGCAAGTCAGTGCAACGTCTCAGAGCTCTGCAGTGTTTCTTGGTTTTCCCTGTAGCCAAAATGTTTCTTCCCAAGGAATGGGCCCTTTGTGAAAACTAATCTCCAGCAGGAAACAAATGTTTTGCTAATAATAAAAAAAAAATTTCATAGCCCATAATTCAGTGCTTAAACTCTTTACTCTCTTTGAATTAATGAATTCGTTTAGTGGTATTGGTGGGAGGGGAACGAGGGTGATATTTTAAAACTCCTCAGTTAGGCATTTTTTATCAACCAAGCAGCTGTCAAGTAGAATTTTTTTTTTTAAGTTGTCACCTATTTTCTTTACTATCAAAATGTACTAACAGATATATAATTTACCATCTGGTTTCTTTCTGCTTAAAAGCATAATTTACCCATCGTCTTCAGATGGCACCTCTGTTGACCTTGAATTTTGCAAAGAACTAGCCAGGGTTTTATCTATTTGGCAGAGAGAAAGAGGTCTGTACCAAGATTTTCTAAAGATTTTTTATTTTATTAATTGACAGAGAGAGAGACAGCGAGAGAGGGAACACAAGTAGGGGGAGTGGGAGAGGAGAAGCAGGCTTCCCACTGAGCAGGGAGCCCGATGCGGGGCTCGATCCCAGGACCCCGGGATCATGACCTGAGCCGAAGGCAGTCGCTCAACCAACTGAGCCACCCAGGCGCCCCTGTACCAAGATTTTCTGGCTGGCAGCTTCAACTGCCTTTTAACCTGGGTTTATCAGGTGCTGGAGATAGAATCAGAAACCCCTCTACTGGTCTCCTCACTCCTCAAGGACAGCAAAATCAGCAGAATGTGACTTTGTAAGTCATGGACAGACCCAAAGATAAATTCCTTGATTCTTGTCTACTGGTATACAAGTTCTCTGTTCCAAAAGTTCATTTCATTTTGTACCATGACTTTTGCTTTGGGCTTTGCTCTTTTGTTTGTTTGGTTTTGGGTTTTCTGTTTGTTTGTTTGTTTGTTTACTTTTTAATTATACAACCAACATGCAAATAAATGTGTAAAACATTAAGACAATGCCAAGGTAAATCCCACCTCTTCCCCAATCTTCCCCAGACGTAACCGTTGCTACCATGTTGGTGTTCATAATTTCCAGCCTTTTTTTAATGTATTTACATACACATTCAGTTACTAGAATGTCTTTGTTTTCAGCTAAGAATAATCTATTTTCCTTATATTCTATTGTTGAAGTTCCACACATTTCTGCATATTTATTTTTAACCTAGATGGACAGTCTTACAAAGTGAGCCTTTGTCCAGTGCCCACATAAAACCATGAATAGATCTTGGGGGAAAAAAAAAAACCCCATAGGTATTTTAGGGCTCATAAGAAAGACTGAGGTTTGGACCCAAACTGATTGCAGAAGGCTTGAAGAGTGCTTCTGACAACTCTGAGGCATTCCAAAGGGAGCACCGAGCAGCTCACCAGAGGGGAATATTGATGACCTGCCCTGCCGTTCATTTAGGAGAGTAAGTATAGCCACCATTTATTGAGCGCTTCCTATGTTCTAGAGGTTGAGGGCCAAATATTTTACATGTATGATCTCATTTAATCCTCACAGAAACCCTATGAAGTAAGAGAAATTATTAAATGTGCAAAGTGTGGCTCAGGGAGATTAAACAACCAGCCCAAGGTCACGTAGCTAAATGTAGCAGAGCTAAAATTTAAACTTTGTTTAACCCATAGCCTGTGTTCTTAGTCCAGATTTTTGATTTCAAATCATCCTCCCACCTATTTTTTTTCTTTTTATTTTCCACCACAGAATCTTTTTATTTTTTCCAAGTGAAATCTTTGTGTCTCTACCCAATGTATCAAACCTACGAAGGCAGCTGATCCTCAGCAGACAAACCTCTCAAAGCTCGTTTCCAGCCCACAGTCTGAAGACAGGCAGTCTTGGTGCTATTCCCCCAAATCCTTTGGACTTATGCTTTCCACTCTCATGTCTCAAAGGCTCAACTAAATCAGCTTAATTTCATTTAGTTGAGAATTGCTAAGCTAAACTCCACAAGAGTTCTACTTTCAATCTCTCTGTGTTAATGATAAATTAGCATTAGATGCCTTTGGATTATGTTTTATTCTCAGAGTCTGTAAAAATTCACTTAAAATGGATGGAAAGATGTCCTTATCAGTTTTATTCTCACAATCGGAGAGGTTTAAAAGTTATCAATTGTGCTAAAGATAATCCACTTTCATGGATTTAAAGATCTGTTCATAGTTCAGATTCTTGCATTATGACTCAGAAAACACAAACAAGTGGCATTGTCTTCAACTTGATAATCCTAGGTACATAAAAAAGACTTCGATAGCCATAATTATATTGTCTTCTGTAAAATTTCAAAGGCTACCTAGCAACATAGAATTTTGGATTTGAAGTGAACCTTAGAAACGCTCTCATTGACCTCCCTGTTTTAATGATGAGGAGACAGTATCAGGAAGGTCAAGACACCTGCTCAGATTAGAATGGGGCTAAGTGCTGCTCACATGTAGGGTTTTCACTTCCAAATCTAGTGTGCTTTCCTCCTCATCATACCCTCTAACTAGTTCAGGCTTCATGCCTTGTCTATTCGTTTTCTTAACAAAGAGAGTAGGAACAAAATCCAGCTCTTGTCTTCATAGAATTAACTGCCTAGTGACCACCAACTTTGACAAGACACTTTGGTCTTGACTCAGTATTTCATGATTTTGTACATTTGAACAATTCCTTATATTGTATTGTTCTTTAATAATAACAGATTTTATAATCACTGTCACTTATACAACACCAACTTTGCTGGGCACTGTTCTCAGAGGCTTAAGTATGCTTACATATGTAAATTCTCACAAAAATCCCAAGGTAGATACCATTGTTATCCCAATTTCACAGATGAAGAAACTGAGGGGTACGGAGGTGGAGGAAGTAGTCTTAGGGCACACGGCCAGTTAGCAGCAGAATCAGGGTTTGGATCAAAGTGCTTGGCTCCAGAGTCCATAGCCTTAAGCACTGTTCACCCTGGGCCTGTTGGCATTAACCAGTCCAGCAAGGTCAGAGGAGAAGTGAAGAGGTATGACTGCCCTAGCTTCCTCCTTTTTCTAAAAATGTCAGGGAACAAAGCAAAGGCTTTCAGCCTGGTAATGATGTTTACCCTGGCAGAGCTGAGGGGGGAAATTTAGCTCCTCTGAAGTGGTTGTTCTCCACCACTGTTCCATTAACAGCATTCCTTTACATGCATTTCCCTTTACTGTTCTATTATGTCTACTTAAAGCATTGAATTGGAATTGTAACAAAGATCCTCTTCCTATGTGAAACACTCCACGTCTTCCCAGAGGGCTAACCTTTTACTAAGAGTCAGGCACTGTTACTAGTGTAATCCTCAGAATCACTCGATTATGCCCATCTGACAGCCAAGGACACGGAGCTTCAAAGAGGTTAAGTACCTGCTTCAAGGTCATAGTGCTATTAAGAGGGGTAGCAGAATTCAAACTCGGGAGGTCAGCTCTAGTCCCACCAATCTTTCCATTGGCATCTCTGGAGTGTGGTGCCATGATGCTAACACTGCTTCTGGGTTGGCTCTCCCCATTGGAAACTACTGTGAGGATGATCCAGAGAGGATTTTGTGGGGAGCTTTTGGCCACAGCTATGGAGACTTAACATTTTCCAAGTGACTTCCAAGGGTAGGAGGAAT